TAAGGGTTGAAGGTTGAGTAAAACCTTTACCACATTCTTTACATATGTAGGGTTTGTCACTGCTATGATAAAGGATTGAGTAATCTTTAGATGGTTTTACATATTCTTTAAATTTGTAGGACTTCCCTCCAGTATGAATTTTCTGGTGTTCAGTAATGCTTGCAATTTTATTTAAAGCTCTTGAACGTCCCATACATTTGTCATTCTTTTCTTGAATATCAAAGATTGGATATATATATTTTGACAATTGATTAAAAACTTTCTCACTTTTATTATCTTTGTAAAGCTTCTTTTTAAAATGATCACACTGATGTTTTCTAGGATTTAAACAAAAATTAATTCTTATGGGTTTCACAGAATTTAAATTTTTTTCACCAAAATAAATATACTGGTAATTAGTTAGGGAAGAGACCTAGGTACACATCTTGAAAGATTTATCATAAATGTAGAAGTCTCTTCAAATATCTATATCTGAAATTTGATTAACCAATAGGTAAGTACAACTCTTCTCACATTCATCAAAATTCTATGCTTTAGCATGGGTGGAATTGTTTTTTCATTGCAGCCTTTTTGTAAAGTAATGATTAGATTAATCAGTCAGAAATTTGTTCTCTAATTTTTAATCTCTTGTCTAGAGAAATGTTTGAGTAAATGTTTAACTCAATGCTACATTTCAAAATATTCCACTTACTAACTGAAGCATGGAATAGTCTCCATAGCAAAATTTCCAAATTTACTTAGAGGCAAGGTATGATGTAAAAGATGCTATGAAAATGTATTTAAAGGCACACATAGGTCCTCAAAAGTTACTGACATGAATTAAGTAGTCTTCTGAGATGTTATGTTACTGATAACTGATGACAGTATAATTTTAATTTTAATTTTAAATAATAATCATGCATTCCCTCCCACAATTTTGCATTTTTCTTTAAAAGTAAATTTTCAATGTCAAATTTTCCATACCTTTCCTTTTTCATGTTTTGGAATAAATATTTTATTTCCTGCTCTGGTGCAAATTCTTGGGCTTGATGAGAACATATACCTGAAAGAAGTCAAAATAGTAAATTATTCCACTTACTGTGATGAATATACTTTGCAAATATATAAAGTTTTATCAAGGTGAGTACATAAACAAGAAAGCAGTATAATCCAAGGCCATCATTAATCCAGAAGTATATGAACTTTACAATATGCTGACAAAATTTATTTATGAGAACTTCCAAAATCATCTTGAGATTTCATAGCACCACAGGTGATCACACACTTAGACTTTGAGTAATGTTTGCACAACACCATCAAATCATATAGTCTCTCAGTTCAACTTTTTCAGATTCTACATGTGACTCAAACATTTCACAAAGTGGTTTTCTCCCTTTTTTCTTTGGGGGATAATTTGGGATTGAACATAGGGGTGTATACCACTGAACTACATCCACAGCCCTTTATATACCTGACCTATTTTGATTTATTTGGTAAATTCCAAACATTGTCTAAAATGACTAGAATTATCTATTTTAAGGGGTTTTTAAGTGGGAAAATTCTCAATGGAAATAAGAGCACATACACACACACACACACACACACACACACACACACACACACAAGAAAAAGGGGAGAATTGATTCAAGCAAAGAAACAATATAAAACACTAGAAATTGAGAGTTGTTAATTACATAAAGAATGCCAATTAACCATTTAAAAGATGTTTAATGAACTAATTAAGAATAAAGAAAAGTGCCACTATTTTATATAAGAGACTGCAGTATTCAAGGACTTTTGTATTCATGGGGAGGATCCAAAAATCAATCTCCTGTGAATAATCTAAACAGCTGCATTAAATGCTAACTAAATACCAGGCCTGGGAATGTGGGTATAGTTCAGTGTTAAGAAGGTTGCCTAGCATTCTCAAGATCTTAGGTTCAATCCCCAGCACTGCAATAAATAAATAAATACCAAAAAAAAAAAAAAGAAAAGAAAAAAAGTGAATAAAATTCAGAAAAAAAATAATGACAAAAAAGGAGAAATTGTACACTAGAAATATTCCTTGAGACATATGTATAAGAGCCTGTTATCTCAGCAGCTCAGAAGGCTGATGAAGGAGGATCACATGTTCAAAGCTACCCTCAGCAAAAGGGAGGCAATAAACAAATCACTGAAACCCTGTCAATAAATAAAATACAAAAAAGGGCTGAAGATGTGACTCAGTGGCTGAGTGCCCCTGAATTCAATCCCTGGTACACGACCCCGCCCTGAAAATAAATAATGTCTGAGAAATTAGAAATGTGAGGAGGAAAATACATCAGATATTATAAACTCAATTCAAAGACTCAAGGTAAAGTATTTATAATTAAAGCATTAAAACTCAAGAGAACTTTTTTGAGCAGACCAAGAAAAAGAGAGGTGTCATCTATAAAGATATTTTTATATGGTTAATAGGTAACTTCTTAATTGAAGCCTTCTAGGAAGGAATTGGAACATATGTGTTAAAAGAAAAACAAAATATCAACCTAGAAGACTATATCAACAAATCCTATTTTTCAAACGAAATGAAAAATACAGGCTTTCAAGATATGTGAGTTATGTGCAAAAATTTCCTCACTTTTAGATCTGTCCTATAAGAAATACTTATCTGAATCTTTCCAATAAAGTAAAACTGCATAGCTACAAAAGTCACATAAAATATGAAAGCTTTTGAGGAGAAACAAAATATACACAAGCATAAACTCCATTTTATTATCATGGTGGCCCATAAAACATTTAATTCTGCTATAGAATATAAAAGACTAAAGCATAAATATT